AGTTCGCTCAGTTCCCCCGGGGATTCTCCACGTGGCCGCTGGCCCCAAGGCAGGATTCCACCAAAAGGCAGAATAACACTTGCTGTTGGCAATCTTGCAGCCAAACTCTGCAGATTAGCTGATAGAGGAGCAATTGCCCTTCGACGCTGGCTCCGGGAGCCAGGCAGCAGCTGGCCAGCAGCAGGCTGCGTGTGTGGCATGCACGCATCAAGTCCAGCATGTCTATGATGCATTAGGCAAGTTGGAGGTTGCGCTTTCACTGGAGAACTGACCCGTGTATGCCCAGTGGCTGGTTTCCAGCCTGAAGCCAGGCAGAACTGCTGCAAACGAGTGGCTACAGCCTTCCTTTGCCATTCAAAAATGCTATCTTCTTCTCTTTTCTTTTACTGGAGCAAGCGAGGCAACGAGCCATTCTTTAAACTTCAGCAGGTCTTAGTCCTTGCAGGAGGCAAGAAAATCCTGTGTTAGTTACAGTCCTGGGGAGGTATCAAGGTGCGAATTATCCACCTCCCAGCGACTTCCAGTCCCTCCACGCTTCAGACCCCCTGTAAGTTCTGACCAGCCCCTCTAAGTTCCCCTTTCATGCCATCTGCATTCGGGTCAGCCACATTTCCCTCTGGACACAAGAAGGAAAGGCTGAGCACTGGGCAGGGGTGGCTCCTCAGTTCGGGTGTTCACACCAGGGTTTGCACCCTGAACATCCTGGACTTCCAACTGGAGACAGCCATGCCCAGCTCCAAGAAATCTTCCATGACAATAATTATTATCATTGCCATCATCAACGTGGGCAAAACAATGCATTTTTCCTCATTTTCTCAGAACTGAGTGACCTACTGCAGCTGGAGCTCATTTTCCTTCCTCTTCATGCTACTTTTTTCTCTGCTGCTAAAATGTCAGCCTTAGGGAAGTGCTTGTTGTGGCAAATTTCACCTCAAATAATATGTCATCCATTACCTTTCCAACTGGAAATGGCTAATTTCTAACTGGGAGTGCCTGGTAGTCTCAGTAGTACCTCTTGCTGCGGGGGCCATCTGCATTTGTGTCCTGCCGCCAGCACCAGGACCCCCATTTTGCTCTCATAAAGGCATCAATTATTCAGATCCCTCTGCTCCGACCAATTCCAGTTGTCCCCCTCGGCTGGGCTGGGCTGGGCTGAGCTGGGTGCCACTGTTTCTACAGCCGACCAGACGCAGCCTGTGCCACAAGGCTAGCATTCCTGCGGCAGCGTGAGGGGGGAGCATGGGGCTTGCTCCCAGGGGGACACAGGTACCAAGAGTGTTTTCCCACCCAGCAAGGTTTCTCCTTAACCCTCTTCACTGGGGACACCCAGCCGTGGTGTCCTCGCCCTGGCGAGGCGAGGCGACAGCGGATCTGCATAGGGACAGGCCACTGGGTTTTGCTTTTCAGTTGCTCTGCCTGCACCCAGAAACACTGCTGGGCAGGGAAATGGAGGGGACAGACTTCGAGGGGAGCGGCTGCGGGTCTGTGCGTGTGCATGGGCAGCTGGTCACAGATGGAGCCCATCCAGCAATGGCTCTGCAATAGCATCGGTCAGGATGGATAACTGACCCTCAGCTTCCTTGTGAAAGCTCCTCTCTCACAGCAAAGCACGGGGGGGGCAGGGGGAAGGAAGCCAGCTACCAGCTTTCAAAGACCTGACTTCAATTCAATGGCTGAAACAATCCCCCCCAAAGTGGGTTTTTTTCCTGAGAAAGTCCCTTCCCTAATCCTAATTGTTAAAATTGCATTTTTAATAAAGGCTACCGACAGTCAAACAGTCAAGAAAAGAACAGAAACCAGAAGCTTGACTGCACAAAAACCACTACGCTGTTACCCGGCGTGCTTCCCTCTGCTCCTGGCGCCTGCCTGCCTTTGAGCATCATCCCATGGCTTGGCACGGCACCTCTTCATGGCACCTCAGCCCTAAATACCTGCAGAAAAGCAGGTTTCTGCTGTGGCTGAGAATATGCTCTGCATGTCCATCTGTTCCCGGCTAGGAAAGTGGAGGTTTCCTCGCGGGCTGCAGCAGGCTGCTGTTGCGTGTTTGTGGAACAATAGGGTCCCTCTGGTGGCAAATTCCGCCCGAGGTGTGCTGACATCGCGGGCAGGGATGGACAGGGTTGCAGGACAGCAGAGCTGGCTTCCAGCCGGCCGGCCGCTCATCCCACGGCTGGGCAGCCCCGGCTGTCTGGCTGTGGGGATGAAGGGGCTCATGGCCCCACTGACTCTGGCCTCTGCCTTGGCTGGGGCGGGGGGGGGTTTGCCCAGGATGTCCCAGGCAGCACCACTGGCAGAGCTGCAGAAGCCTCTGGAGGACCGGGCACAGGATGCACCCCGTCACACGATGCACCCCATCACACGATGCATCCCATCATCACATGGACGGAGCCCAAATGGTCTCAGCCCAGAGGCTGGGTCCCCAGGCTCGTGATGCGGCGCCTTGCCCACGTGCAGCACTCCTCCGGCTGCCTCCACCCAGCAAGCGCTTGCAAAGAGATGTCTTTGCCTTGGGGCCGTGGCAGATGCTAAGCATCGAGTTGTTGTTCAGGGTTTTTGGCAGGTTCATGACAGTCTTGGAAGGGAATAACTCAGGCACTCGCGCACCATCCCAGCAGGACACTAATTAAAAGGATCGGACTCTGTGCTATGTCTCCGTCCGACCCCAGCACTTGTGTCTCGCTCATCCCAGACGTCCGTCGGAGCCCCCGGTCCCATCTCCGCGGGATGCAGCAGCTCTGCCCCATCCTGCATGGGATGGGGGAGATGAGGGCTAACAGCTGGGTCCCCACACAGCAGGGTGCTGTGAACCCAGCTAACAGCAAATACCAACATGAGCTTGGGGTGCTGGGAGGCAGGGAGTTTGGGGTGCATCCAGCCCTGAAGAACCCCAAGGGCCCAGGCTTTAGGAACCAGAAGGTGCTACAGGGCTAGATGTGGCTAGCAGAACAGAACAGCCACCTATGGGACACAGCATGGCTTTTTCAGGCTATTTCAGCCTTTTTACAATGGGCTGCCACGATGGTGGTGGGCATTCCTACTCACCCAGACGCCTCCACAGCGCGGGAGCTCGGCATGGGTAACCAGCTTCTCCCAGCTCCCCAGCAGAAGGGCTTTTTGGCAGCCCTATACAGAGGATAGACAAGTTTCTTCAGGCTCGTGAGCAGTAAGGTTTCAGCATTGTGGATGCGAAGGACTCCCCTGACCTCCCAGACCAGCAGAGTTCAAGAGAGATGGGGCTTGGGCTCTCCCCATGCTCCCCTCTTCCCTGGGAGGGGTTGTATTTCCCCAGCTGCTGTAGTGTCGGGGTGGACAGAAAGGCCGTGCATGCTGCGGTCCAGCTTCAAGGGTGTTGCTGTCAGTCATCTTTTCCAAAGTTGCTCTGCCACATACTCGAATGTAGCTTTAAATGGATAAATGTGGCAGGGGACTAGCCAGAGCTCTTAGCCATTTGTTTCAGGTGACTCGTCCATCCTCGCATCCTTTAAAATGTAGTCAGTGACAGTTTGGCAGCAGATCTTGCCCAGGGACAGATTGCCTCCTTTCCCTCCCGTGCTTTGTAGTCAGTTGCAAAGACCAGCTCTAGCTGGAGGCTTTGCAGCAGCAGAGGCAAAACTGAACTTTGCCACCCCTAGGTTGAAGGCAAAATAATTTCCTGGGGTGGGATGTCAAATCTGGCATCCTTCTCGCTCCCTCTTTCCCTCCCTCCCTCCCACAAAGACACACTCTCCGCAAAAAGCCAGGCGTGTATTCTCCTGCCAGGATATTTCCTCCCTGCCCCGCTGTAGGACCTTCCCCTTCTCCAGACAATGAAGGGACCGAAGCCAATGGCAGCGGCTGATGGAGCCAGGGAATGCAAAAGCCCAGTGGAGCCCATCCTGAACGCGTCCCAGCCGGCTGGACAGGAGGGGGATAATGAAGCCCGGTGGGTGGGCTGTGAGGGGCAGCCCTGCCACCGGCCCCCCGTTCGCTTGCGGCCAGGTGAGGCAGGTGGGAGCCAGGCTGGGGCTGGGGAGCCAGCCACCCACCTCCCTGCTTGTGCCCAGAGCTGGCCTGTAGCCCCACAGCATCAGGAGTGACCCAGCGGGGCCATGGCCCCCCACACCGGTGCAGGAGAACCCCAAATCTGCACATGCGATTAGACATGGGCAGCAGGGCTGGAATGTGCTCACAGCAACACAGGGCCCCCAGGCGGGTGGATGCATAAATCCAGACCTGGCACAGAGCGATTCCTCCCAGCCAAGTGCCCCCAAGATCCCACCAGGTCTCTGCCGCTCACAGGCAACCCACAGATGCTGTCTGAGGCTGGGGGACACCGGGAGAAAGGATGGTGCTCAGCCAGACCCTGAAGGAAGAAGGTCAGCAGCATGTGCCCATGGTAGATCACTTTTTATTAAGGTTTGTTATTATAAAAATATATCATAAAACATTGTGGCACGTTTGTCCATTTCCACTCCGGCGCAGAGGCACTGAAAGACCTGGACAGAGAGGGCTCCATCCATCGCACCACTGCTCTGGCTGCGGCGTGGGGAAGCCAGAAACCGCTCCCTGGAGGAAAAGTCCTCCCTTGGGCTGGAACAGAACCAGGGACGCACGGAGCAATGGCTGGGGACGGAGGCGTTCGCTGCCCTGCATCCAATGGTCTTCAGGGACATGGGAAGGAGAAAGAAAAACCGAAAGCAAGACCAAAAAAAAAAAAAAAAAAGAAAAAAAAAAAAAAAAAAAAGAAGGAAGACTGAGTCTCTTCTGCCACTCCTTTCCGATCCGATGGAGGTAAAGCATCCCTCCAGGCAGCGTGAGTGAACATCCCGACCGTGCCGCCCTGCACAGGGATTTGCCGTGGGAGGATGTCACCTCTCATGCCCGGCTGTCTCCTTGTCCCCGCAGGCACCTGCCAGAAGCGGCAGCACTTTGGGTATGGCTTGGTGGCACTTTGGGCTTCAGTTACAGTTTGCAGGTGCTTACTCCAAGAGTCACCGTCCCTAGGCTGCAGCTGCGCAGCTCTAGGAAGAGGAGGCTGGGATAGAGAGTCCATGGATGGTATTTAGAGGGTCCGGAGATTTCCCCACAGGGCTGGCAGGTTTTCTGTCCACAACTGCAAGAAGGGTAGAGGGGGGAAAAAAAATAGACAACAAGGCAGTGGATTGATGGACTCCAAGCACGTCGCTGCAGCCGGGCACATCCCACATCTGCACGCATGCGGACCCTCCTCCTGTAGCCCCCCAAGAGCGGCTCTGCCTCTCTGGGCCCCCCATCCGCCTGCCCCCAGGAAAGCCACCCCTTCAGAAAGGGGCTGCCAGGCTCTGTGTATCAGAGCTCTCCCAGGGAAATGGAGAGGAAAGGGGGGACGCACCCCCCGAGTGATAGGGACCGTGATGATGACAGCCACCCCCTGCCATTGCCGGGGATCTGGATCTGCCTGGGGAGGTGACCCAGACCCATCCCAGCCACACAGAGAACACGTCCCACGCACTTTCTTAAAGCCTGTGGTTGGGGTGCCCTGGGAGGGGACTGTGCCACCAGTACCGGGAAAGGGAAGGGGAAAGGCTCTGCCAGCTGTAGGAAAACTCCTCTTGAGCTTCTCCCCAGCCCCAGCTCATCCCAAGCCCAGCCCTGGGATGCATCATGGTGCAGGGCCCAAGGCTGGACCAGGCCCCCTGTATACCCCCACATCGGCCCCGCGGGGGCCTTTGGGGGGAGCGGGATACAAAGCTTCCCGGGGCTGCTGCAGGCATTGGGATAAGCAGGGAGGTTTTTCTGGGAAAATACCGGCTGTGACATCGGAAAAGGTCTGAACTGGAGGGCGAAATTGCCGGGCTGAGATTGTCATTAATTTCCCTCTCTCCTTCTTTATTTCTTTCCTTCTCTCCTTCTTTCTTTCCTTCTCTCTCTGTCACTTTCCCCTCCCACT